CACTTATTGAGAGATTCGAGTCTCTCGTTCAGAGACGCTAAACAGTTTTTTTGACAGTCTCTCGACAGTCTCTCTCAGCGACACCAGAGAGACCCGATGAGAGACGGGGACTCGAGTCTCGCTTTCAGAGACTGAGAGACTGAACATTTTTATCTCGGGTTGCTGATAGATTAAAACAATTTATTTGCAACAACTCAAACAATAATTTAATTATAATCAATAAATTATTCAATAATATAATAATATTTTATTAGCCTACCTTATATAATTGGGGAACTGCTACTTGCTTTTTCTTGATCTTGGATTTGTCTTCGAGCTGACTCTCTAGATTATTATTTATACCGCTAATTGCTAATTGATCTACTAACCCAGCAGCACTACGTAACAGTACAAGAATTTTGTATTAAAAAAAGAAAACTATCTTGTTTTTTATTCCCAAGTGTTGATGCTGGTACATCAACTGACACAGGTATGCAAAGCCGGTGGGTAGGGTGGAAGGCTCCCTTTTCCCTCCTTTTAGGAATTGTAAGAACCATTTCTAACTTAATTAGTGATTTTGCTTTAACTAACTTAACATTATGTAGGTAATTATGTTGACTGAGTTGAGTTTATTTCTGAAGATAAAAATTGAAATTCCATTATGAAATTTCTAACGTTCGTAACATTCATTTCTATTCAAACTTAAAGATCAATACTCAAGTGATAGGTACATTCCTGAATATCTAAATATTGAATGAATTATTAATTGCTTATTCGACCTTGAAGATGCTACACCTTTACTTACATGTTTACGTTTTATAGTGTACAGGTAAACGGTTTGTGAAGGTGCGCGCATTAAATGATCTTTAGAGATTGTTGACAAGGTTAAATTTTATCTCTGATTATCATAATCATCTATAAACGCTTAAGTATAGTATTTTTTAAGTGGAGCATGTATTTAGTTATCGTAGAAAAATATGTGAAAAATATTTGAACCAACATCCGTTTTAGTATCTACTAATTAAACCAAAAGGTTGNGGTAATTTAGTGATCTTTGTTTATTGATTGTTTAGCGCCGACTCAAAATTACTTCGGTATAGTTACATTCGTTGAAGAACTTAGTTATTAAGGTTAATAAAATGAAGGTTTATTATTTTTTTCTTTTTAGTTTTTCGGCAGTTTCATTTTTTTGTTAAAAAGTTTTTATTTAATTTATATTTGTGGCTGAAATCTACTAATTACTACTACTACTACTGCTAATATTATTTTCCTACTATAAATCATCCCCCGTTGCCTCACCCCTAAGAGTTAGATTTTTTTCCAAGTTTATATGTAACCAACTTCGGGGTATACCATTTCCAATAAAAAAAGAATTATCAAAATCGGACTATTCTGTCAAAAGTTATGCGTGGTCATACATTACAACCAGTGAATGAACAACAATCAACAATCATTCCCTGTTTTCCTACCTTTGAGTTGGATTTTTTTTTCCAAATTTATATGGGGCCAACTTCGAGGTATACCATTTCCAATAAAAAAAGAATTATCAAAATCGGACTATTCTGTCAAAAGTTATGCGTGGTCATACATTACAATCAGTGAATGAACAACAATCAACAATCATCCCCTGTTTTCCTACCCCTAGGGTTGGAATTTTTTTTCCAAATTTATATGGGACCAACTTCGGGGTATACCATTTCCAATAAAAAAAGAATTATCAAAATCAGACTATTCTGTCAAAAGTTATGCGTGGACATACATTACAACCAGTGAATGAACAACAATCAACAATCATCCCTTGTTTTCCTACACTTAGGGTTGAAATTTGTTTTCCAAATTTATATGGGATCAACCTCGGGTTATACCCTTTCCAATAAAAAACGAATTATCAAAATCGGACTATCCTGTTAAAAGTAATACGTGGTCATACATTACCACCAGTGAGTGAACAACAATCAACAGTCATCCCAAATTTTGCTACACTTAGGGTTGGAATTTTTTTCCAAATTTATATGGGATCAACTTCGGGGTATACCCTTTCCAATAAAAAAAGAATTATCAAAATCGGACTACTCTGTCAAAAGTTATGCGTGGTCATACATAAAAAAAAACAAAAAAAAAATACACGCGTCGACTTGAGAACCTCCTCCTTTTTTTCGTCGGTTAAAAAATATGTTGTGATAATCATTAACTGCTTTGGAAAAAATAGTAGTAAACTTACAATACTGATGTTGTACTATTAAAAAATGGGTTTGCTTTACAACTTCCTAATATTTTTATAAAACTACCACAAAATTTTTTAACAGTGCACGTAACAACATGGACAGTAGACGAACGGTTTGTTTATTTAAAACTCACACATCTGCACGCATATTTTTCAATGCCTATTATTTATACTGTACATACACGTAACCATTTACTGTTAAACAAATACTCAACATGAGTTTGTTACTAAAAATAGTTCTAAATGTTTGCCGCCCTAATAAATTATCATGTGAAAAGCTACGTTGGGTTTCTTGCGTGTTTTCGTGCATTATCCTCTAAACCCCATGACACATTTATTATGGACATATGTATGTACATATTATCTATGTAGGTGACCGTTGCACTTTCTGTTTCAGGTGAGCCGAGGTTATTTATACGACTTCGTTAATCGTAAGTAGATTTTTTGGATAATGTTACAACTAGGGCTGGGAAAATTATACGGTTAATCGGCTGTTTTCCATCCCCCACATAATGAGNAAAAAAAGAATTATCAAAATCGGACTATTCTGTCAAAAGTTATGCATGGTCATACATTCCAATCAGTGAGTGAACAACAATCAACAATCATCCCCTGTTTTCCTACCCCTAGGGTTGGAATTTTTTTTCCAAATTTATATGGGACCAACTTCGGGGTATACCATTTCCAATAAAAACAGAATTATCAAAATCGGACTATTCTGTCAAAAGTTATGCGTGCTCATACATTACAACCAGTGAATGAACAACAATCAACAATCATCCCCTGTTTGCCTGCCCTTGGGTCGGAATTTTTTTTTCAGATTTATATGGGATCAACTTCGGGATATATCCTTTCTAAAAAAAAAAGAATTATCATAATTGGACTACTCTGTAAATAGTTATGCGTGGTCATACATAAAAAAAAACAAGAAAAAAAGAAATATACGCGTCGACCTAAGAACCTCCCCCTTTTTTTCGTTGGTTAAAAATAGAAACATTGAGAACAACTTTTTCTTTAAACAAACTATAAATTTTCCCTTCTTTGTTCCAGAATCGCAAAATGCAAGGATTGTTTGCTACTACACCAACTGGTCGGTTTACAGGCCTGGTACAGCAAAATTTAATCCTCAAAATATCAACCCCTACCTTTGTACGCATCTCATATATGCTTTTGGAGGATTTACGAAAGAGAACAACTTTAAACCCTTCGACAAATATCAGGACATTGAAAAGGGTAAGGCTTTCTCATTCTCACATAAGCTAAAAGTATTAAGTAGTATAAAAATGTGAAGTAAAATAAAACTTTAAAATATCAGACAAATAACTCTAGTAAAAATTTGATGGAGAGGGTTAAGACTNATTATCTACTATTTTTTCCAAGTTTATATGGGATCAATTTCGGGGTAAATAAATAATAAAGAATTATCAAAATCGGACAATTCTGTCAAAAGTTATGCGTGGTCATACATTACAACCAGTGAATGAGCAACAATCAACAATCATCCCCTCTTTTCCTACCATTAGGGTTGGAATTTGTTTTCCAAATTTATATGTGATCAACTTCGGGGTATACCTTTTCCAATAAAAACAGAATTATCAAAATCAGACTATTCTGTCAAAAGTTATGCGTGGTCATACATTCCAATCAGTGAGTGAACAACAATCAACAATCATCCCCTGTTTTCCTACCCCTAGGGTTGGATTTTTTTTCCAAATTTATATGTGATCAACTTCGGGGTATACCTTTTCCAATAAAAAACGAATTATCAAAATCGGACTATTCTGTCAAAAGTTATGCATGGTCATACATTCCAATCAGTGAGTGAACAACAATCAACAATCATCCCCTGTTTTCCTACCCCTAGGGTTGGATTTTTTTTTCCAAATTTATATGTGATCAACTTCGGGGTATACCTTTTCCAATAAAAACAGAATTATCAAAATCGGACTATTCTGTCAAAAGTTATGCATGGTCATACATTCCAATCAGTGAGTGAACAACAATCAACAATCATCCCCTGTTTTCCTACCCCTAGGGTTGGATTTTTTTTTCCAAATTTATATGTGATCAACTTCGGGGTATACCTTTTCCAATAAAAACAGAATTATCAAAATCGGACTATTCTGTCAAAAGTTATGCATGGTCATACATTCCAATCAGTGAGTGAACAACAATCAACAATCATCCCCTGTTTTCCTACCCCTAGGGTTGGATTTTTTTTTCCAAATTTATATGTGATCAACTTCGGGGTATACCTTTTCCAATAAAAACAGAATTATCAAAATCGGACTATTCTGTCAAAAGTTATGCATGGTCATACATTCCAATCAGTGAGTGAACAACAATCAACAATCATCCCCTGTTTTCCTACCCCTAGGGTTGGATTTTTTTTTCCAAATTTATATGTGATCAACTTCGGGGTATACCTTTTCCAATAAAAACAGAATTATCAAAATCGGACTATTCTGTCAAAAGTTATGCATGGTCATACATTCCAATCAGTGAGTGAACAACAATCAACAATCATCCCCTGTTTTCCTACCCCTAGGGTTGGATTTTTTTTTCCAAATTTATATGTGATCAACTTCGGGGTATACCTTTTCCAATAAAAA